TGAACTTTTGCCAAAGCTTCATAAACATTAAGTAAATATTGCTGTGTAAACTATTAAACAGTCAAATTACTCTTTGACTTTATGACTCTTATTCACATGTTTTATTGCTAGTGTCACTTTTCACCCAACAGTATTGTAACATCCAGCTTCACCCTGTAACAGTCTATTAGCTGCAGTAGCCACTGGATGGCAAAATACTTGGTATCTGGTGAAAAAAAATATAGTTTAGAACAACTTGGGTTTTATTTTTATACATTGGTTTGATCGGTTTTGATAACCTATCTATTAAATATTACATTTATCACAGTGCTGCAATCTCAGAGGGCAGTGATCACTAAAACTGTGTGCGATGAGGTCTGAAAAACAAGCAGGCAATCAGGTCGCAAACAAGCTGACAGTTCAACATGATCTAAATTCCTTTTCTGAAGGTAAAAGATGAATGCCACTGTAATATATTCCTCAACTCAGACTTTGATGCCCCACTGGTCTTATTGTATGTTTAAAGATGTCTCTATATTCCTATGCTGACATAACTGATAGAAATGAAATAAAACCCAAGTTGTTGAAGGGAGTCACAGTCAAGATCATCCTCTGTAACTCATTGCACATAACATGCAACATTTTGTGTGTGTGCATCCTTGTAGCTGCTACAAGTTTAACCCTTTGTGACTTTTGTGATTTTAACAAATTGGAAAAGCATTTATCTTGTGAGCAGAGAAGAATCTACTCCCATTAACACTGTGGTTGTACAGGTACTTGCTGTATGTTATTGTACCTTGGTTTCATCCACGTGTTTCATCCCCGAAGCTCTTCTCTAAAGTCATTTTTGTCAAGCCATGATGTGGGGGGGTTCAGTGTCTTGCCCAAGGACACTTATGAAATGCTGGAAAAACATAAACATTGAATAAATTATGTTAGATCGTTTTAAAAAGAGCTAGGCTCTGCTCCAAAGCTATTAGCTTAGTCATTGGCTTAACTGTCAATGGGAATTAATTTGTTTTCTTCTTTTTTGGATCAAACCCTGGTTTCACCTTAGGTTAATAAAAGAGTTACCTGATAACCTCCTGATTAACAGAAAGCTTCAAACCAGACAACACCTTTTCTTTCACTGCGAGACCGTGTGAGAAAGATAGCTGTTATTAGACCTGCCTGCCACCATGCATCACATGTCAGTCAGTCAGGTCAGTGTTTCATCTGTTCACCCAGTGAGTGCGTGATTCAGCCAGCCAGGCAGTCAGCTAGTCTATCAGCTTGGCAGAGAGCAGCAGAGGAAAGCATAAATAATACATAATGTACAAGTGAAGGCTTTAGAAGTATGGAGCTCTTTCAGTTCCTTTGGGCACTAGACAACTCATTTTGTCTCTTTCCCAGTTTTTCTTGCAGACAGCTTACTCTCACTGTGCTCCACCAGCCTCCCTGTCTCAGTCTGACTCCGTATTCCACATAATTTTATTTTTTACAGTTTTTGTAGGTTTAAAGGCAGATTATGACAGTTCATGATTTCTTTTGTGCAATAATGTTATTTAACCATCAAAACAACTTTTTACATCCATAACATAGTTTTCTTTTATCATAGGTGTCATATTCTAGATCATACACTGGAAAAAAACATTTTCTACTTGAAGTTCACTAGGTTCATTCTGTCATATTTTCTCTTACCCTGGCATCTCTATTTATTTAACCACCTTCAGTTCTTTCTGGTCCATCTGCCTACTTTACACTTCCTCCCGGCATCCTCTCTCTGCTGAGTTGTTAAAAACATTGGCTGTGCTGCTCTATATGTGCCTCAGCAGAAGGTGCAGTATACTGTGGCGACTAGCGACGTATGAGTTACAGCCCTGTGGGGGAGCCTGGAGCTGAGACATACTCAAAGGAAGGGCTGGGAAGGGGGCGTCCTCCATCAGTGGTGTTCTAGAAGAGGTGGCACCGCGCTGTGGGCATGTGTGTGTATATTAGGTATATTACGTGAAGCAGTACTGACTGATTTAAGAAAGTTATGAGCAGGACTAAATGATGAGATGTAATCATCCACCTCCTACTTACAATGCTTTCTTTTCTGACACCATGGAAAAGTCTATTAGCCAACAGGATATTTTACCAAACACTTGCTGGCAAATAGCTTAATATGCTATCTTTAAATACTCATTAGATAAAAGTTTACACCAGCATTGAAAGACACTAACACAGAGTGAGCAAAACCGGCACATCATAGTTAAAAGTAGTTCCCAACATGATTTTAATATCACCGGCAGAGAGTCTCTAAATCTCTAGTCATTTTACACAAATAACTTCTACTTGATTTGATAATTGAGTTAAAAAGAAAATAATTACAAGTAGTGAATCGGGCAGCAGTTGAAGGCAAGGGCCCCGACGACCCGATCTCTGGACACGGAGACTAGCCCTGGGGACATGGAATGTCACCTCGCTAGTGGGGAAGGAGCCAGAGCTTGTGCGGGAGGTTGAGAGGTACTGGCTAGAGATAGTCGGGGTCACCTCCACGCACAGCTTGGGCTCTGGAACCTTACTCCTCGAGAGAGGCTGG